GTATGATAGATGAGGCGGGGACTATAAATAGTTAGCCACTTGTTTGATCATAGACATGGTCCGTGAAGTAAAGGCTTGACTATGAGATGTACCAGGTGCAAATGTAGAAGGGTGGTAATGAGATCTGTGGCCTCAAGTTGGTCTCACCATCCAGCTTGACGATTCAGACTTTGGGGGCCTGTTTGCTGAAGCAAGCGTATACGTGCTATCAAAGGCTTGAGACAGAGTGTAGGGAATAGCACCTTGAGTAGGACAGATGGGGTGGCAGTGGTTGAGTAAAATCCCTGAACCAGGAAGATATGAGACGGATAATATGGGGTAAGAGGGAGACTTTGACAGATCCTGGAAGAAGAGAATTGCTGACAAATAGAGCATACTCAGATCAACATTCCCAGCACAGGGGGGTTGAGGAAGCCAGCAGGGAGCTTAAATAAACAAGTAAGAAATTTCTATAGTGAAGAGCTGATATGAGGATGTAGGATAGGTGCATACGCGAGGAAAAAAGGAGAGATACGCCAAGTGTTTAGCAGACAAGTGGTCAAAATATCGACTTCAATTGTCTCTGGCGGGATGAAGTGTGATGCTAAGACTGGCAAGGCTCACTGACAATGTAGGCGAAGCGTCTTGGAATGTACCAAGTCCACAAATCGAGGACCAACAAAGGCTCAGCAGAAAAATGGATACAAAGAGATCATAAGTGGCGGAAAACATTGCACATAATGGACGCAAGATCAAGTGGAAAGTAACATAAAGTGGCTTCATAGAGAGAAAATACATGAGATTAAGGAGACCACCGATATCCTGACAAAATAAATTTAATGATCCGGAAATTAGAAGAACGCAAAATTAGAAATAACTTTGGGTATGGTCTGACCAAATAACTTAGTCGTGTTGTCAAGTCTACTAAGTTGGGCGTACCTCGTCCGAAGTTCTCTGCAATAGTAGTTATCATATTTCTAAGCGTGGGACCGTGAATTGGTACATTCTCAGACGTTTATCCGGCATCGTTAGTGAGTCTTACCAGTCTCAGCACCAACCTATAACGCGTCAGGGACAAGTCGAGTAAATTTCTTGACAAACTTTCTGTCGAAACGGTTGTGTTATCACTCTTCTTTCTGTTCCGGCCCCACTATCCACAACCTACTCTCTTGTATCACTCTCGTATTATCACAACTTCTAACCTATTTATATTACACACGTCTTGAGGACAAGGTACGTCCAATTAAGTCGCTTTGACAACACGACCAAGTTGATAAAACTAAGTCAGACCACATTTATGCACCGAAAGGAAACTACGACCGAAATAGAGACCGCAACATGTTGGCCTTCGTATCTACGCTTTAATTAATGATAACTTTTTTTCGTTTATAAGTAGAGTTTCGAAACTACCAATAATGCAGTTAAATGATATCTTTTCATCCTATTTTGTTTAAGGTGATGCCCTGTGACCTAAGGTCATTCGTGAAATGTGGCCGAGTGGGTAGCGTGTCAGGATTACCCGCTGCATCGGCATGGTTCGAATCCCGCTGGGGGTGTTGATAAGACCTAGGCTAGGTCGAAACTGCAGTCCACCTTGAATCAAAACACCTTTTGGGAAAGCAAGGCTATTTGAAATTCAATGGGAACGATAGCTTAACTCATATCATTGTGGGAAAATGCAAATACCAGTCCTTCATCACCTTAAAGGAAATATGGTGAATATATCTCATATAGTGATAACTTTGTTTGATTAAGCAAACAAGAAGCAAAAAGGGAAACTGTAAGATTAGCAGAGATGGAACTCCTGGATTAAAGATCTGTCGCTAACCAAAGGAAGAAGCGAGTGGTGAATATCTGGAGATAAAGAGAAGACGTTTTCAGTGAGTGTAGCCAGTTCAAGAAAAAAGACTGCAACTTTTGGGGGCCTGGCGCACCAGGGAATAGGGAGATAGATAGTCACAACCGTCATAAGAATTTTTAATTATGGATAGTATATCGAAACTAGTTCGACTACAGATCCACTAAGTGCAAAAAATACCATAAAAGTATGTTCTCAGCTGGTGGGCTCACGAAGACAAGACCTAAATATGATATTGTTTCAGAAAACGTGTCGAATTGTTGTAAAGAAAAGGGCAGTTTGAAGCACTTAGGTTAAAATCTTTAAGCTTAGGAAGCTAAAAAATGTTTAGTCGGGCCATGATGGTTCATGACCATAAGAAATGACGTCTCGAGTAAAATGCATAAGGTGGCAATAACCAAGTGAAATTCGGATAGAAGTTGAATGAAATAGTTTGTGGAATGAAAAGCCCAGGTCGAATCAACAATTCTAGCAAAGAGAACTAGCAGGTGTGATGACGCCTCAGTAAAATAGCTCAAAAATACATACCTATATAATAGTCCAGCATGAGCAGTTTACATGTTTGTGATAGATGGAGTATGATAGGAGGATAGTAAGGCAGATAGATAGACAAGGACGGGATTGGAGCGATACTAAAATAGTCCGACAGAAAGGTGATCAAGTGATGGAATTTACTTGTCTCTTTGATAAATAATAGCTGAGCGCTAAGAATAGCAAGACTCAATGCCGACTACGATGCCGGCGAAACTTCCGCAAATTTACACAATTCATGGCCGGACGCTGGAAATTATCAGGAATACTATGGTGACATAAGACCAAGTTGCGAAAACGAGTCATATCACTTTCTTTTATATATACCCTAGTTTCGCTGGATCAAATAGATGATTTAAGTATATATGTTTTGCACGATAGTCGTGAAAATTAAAAGGACAAACTTAGTGATCGAGATTATAGAGGGAATGGTATAACACATGAGAAACGTAGTAGGCAGTTAATTTGCATAACCATCTCTAGCCGAAATGAGAAGCCTAGCCTGCCCCTCGTTAGATTAAACCTGTTGGTTAAATCTAAAAAAATTGAGGACCTGATAAGCATTGAAAGTAATGAGGTCAAAAGACTAAATAACTTTGCATAAAAAATACTCACACCAGCTATATTGACAATATTTTCTAAGTAGATCCTATACCAAATTTTGATATGAAAACTAAGCGAATAGATTAAAAAACTTAAGTGCCCTGAGCTAAAGTGCCACTTGAAACTGATTATTATATTTTAACTATTATGAGAAAAACTTTAATAATCGATAAATTTTACTCGTACATTTGCAGACAGAGACATTAAGGTCATTATTGTTATTACTATTATTATTAGATAAAAATATATATTTAGCAGAATAACTAATATGAGAAGTCGAAAAGAAAAACTACAAATCAATAGCATCGATTACAAATTACAAATTACGAAAAAGCGTTATTACTAATACCACTTTCTAAACAAAAACGATAAAAATAATAAAGGCGAGTGGATGGCTAGATCAATAAGTAAGGAATTTGCGTCACATGATCAAGGTGCCAAGCATTATACAAGGTGGCTCTTCAAGCGGCTGGAGTTACGTTAATTTACAAGTATATTCAAAGAGTAAAAAAAAATACTCTAACACAAAATATGGTTCGTTTTCGAGAATGTGGCATAAAGTACCTATCCGTGGTTAGATTCGCTTGACTCAATAAAAAACAAGGTACTAGAATTTCTTAAGTGGTGCTTACTACCGAATGCCTGTAAAAGGCTTCTGAAGTAACAGTAAATAAAATACATTGTGATTAAAGCCAACATATGTCTAGAAAGAGAGAGAATAATGGACATTGGCATGAAAATAAAACCATATTTAGAGGCGAGAAGAAAAGAAAAATAGCTAGAAAGTTAGGACGACATCTCTATATTAGGTGGAGCAAATAACTAATGAGAAAGCTGCAAGCCAAAGGCAAACTTTGGGTCTCTATAGAGCTTATACAAGCATGTAATCATGTGCTTATTTGCTAGAGATATTAAGGCTAAAGGTGATATTCTAAATGTAGTGGAAGTTTTAATTTTGCAAATTCCAAACCGCAACATTTGCAAAATAATAACATAGGAGAAATAGAAAATTTTGTCAGAATATTAGTCACTTTAGGTATTTGAGTTAATGTGATCTAAAAACGATTACGGAGGAAAAATGCTGAGATAACTGAGTTAAAAAGCAGAGGTGACTTGGGATGATTCCAATATTGTTAATGCCGGTCAGGCAATTTTCCTTCCTCAATTATATGAAGACGGGTAGAGCGGATCTACCCAAATATATGCATGGGTCTTGAGGATAAACAACAAACCTGAATCCAAGAAAAATGCCTTCCGACCACAGAGATTATCACAACACCGGCGAGCGTAACTAGGCCAATTGCTTGTAGCCTGATATTCAGCCAGGCAGCAGCTGCAGAGCCAGCTAGTTCAGCGCGTACCAACTGAGAAAGTCGGCGTGCAGCCGTCCAGCGAAACCAGACAGCATCCTGTAAGCCACGAATTACCACAAGGCCAGAGATGCTGGAGGAGAAATGTGAGTAGAGCGGGGAACGGCAGTTGCTAAGGGAAGATAAAATAAGAAAAATGCAACTAAATAAAACGGAAAAAGATAAAGTTCTCGCATCTATGAAAAAAAACTGGTTTGTTGAGAATCTTTCGGAATACCTTTCCTTTCGCATGAAGAGACAAGCGAAAGGGATTTATAGGTTGGTCTCACT